GACAAGTGGCTTTTGTTATACTGTTAAACAGAGGGTTGATTTTAAAGTTCTCTGCCACCAGAAACTGCGTAGTCTGTTTCTCTTTTATCTTCTCTGACGCTTCTAGCATGTCTCTGGTGCAGAGGAGGTTTACTGCCACCCGCCCCTGATAGTGGCGTCTTGTCCAGACCCTGTCCTCTGGGAGTCTGCTCCCTGACTTCCGGGCTTATCCACGGACAGCACCGCTCTCACTCCGGAATTTACCTTCTTTCTATTTCTCTTTCAAGCTGAGCTTATTTTCTGTGCCATCTGCATGATCTCTTAACTTCTCCTGTTCAGTGACACCTCTGACCTTATTATGTTGTATAAAAATTGATATTTTTAATTGACAAATCATAACTGGAGACATTTGTGTAATACAGTATCACATTTTGTTGTTATGTTTGTTTGTTTGTGGCAGGGTCTCACTATTAGTGCAGGCTGGCCTTGAATTCACTTATGTAGCCTTAGGGGGTCTCAAATTCACAGCAATCCTCCTGCCTCAGCCTCCCCAGTGGTAGGATTATAGGCCTATGTGCCTGGCTCTATCATGCTTCCTTTTAAATGCAAAACATACCCTGACGTTGACTGTAACTATCTGTGCCTATTAGCCCTGTGACACACTGACCTTTCAGCTCAACTGCATTTTGCTCCTCACCACAGAGCCTTTGCACCTGCTGTTTGCCCTGAAAAACCCATTCTCCCTCTTTTGTGCATGATTCAGACACTCATCCTTTAGCAGTCAAGGGAAAGGAAAACATGTTCCCCCCACCTCAGCCTTTCTGGTCTCTATACAAGGTTCTCCATACCCTACCCTTCATACTTTGCTTTCCAGATTTTTATCACCCTAAGTTTCTCTGAACGGTCTACACTCTGGTACTGTGTTGTTGGAATGCACTCATTACTTATATGTCCAGCAAGGGCTGAGCAATCTATGTATTTATGTCTGAATTCCTAGTATTTAGCAGAATGTCTGGTACACAAAGGTACCCGGTAGCTTTGGAGGAGGCACGGAAGGACAGGGGAGATTTTGCTGTGTTATTGCTGAACACCTTCAGATAGGCTGGGGATGTAGCTAGGTGGCAGGGGGCTGCCCTGGGCTTGATCCTTAGCATAGCAGACCAAAGGAAAAAGGAAGGTTGAGTTCTGCCATGGTAGTCTGGTAGCCAGTGGGAACAATGAGTAGAAACTGTTTTTGATCCTAAATTTTTTCTCTCTTGTTTCTTTCCCATTAAAGTGAATTTGTGCAATGAAAGCCTGAGTCTAGTTACTAAGAATGCACTGAATTATAATATTTCTGGTACTTAGATCAATCTTTTGCCTTATAAGGCTTATAAAGAAGTGGTATAGCCAGCCCTGGTACTTTAGGCTTTTAATTCCAGCCTTCTGAAATGCTAAGGCAGGAAGATGGAAGTTCTAGCTCAGCCTGGGCAAGTTAGTAAGTCCCTGTCTCAAAAACTAGAAAATGGTAAGTGGACTTGTGCAGTGCACAGGCCCTGGGTTCAGTCCTCAGTACTAGAAAAGGAAAAAAGCAGGGGTGGGGGGAGGAGAGCTGCGAAAGGGAAAAGGGGGTAATTGTTATATTAAAAAAAATGAACAGGCATTTTTTTTATTATATTCTTAAAAGCTATAAAGTTAGAGCTCTGTCAAGCTGTCTACTGATACTGTAGAATATTTTTCTATCTCTTGTTCTAGATCTCATCATCTCCAATTACATTAGCTTGGTAGGCTGCCATAACAGGTATCACAGACTGGGGAGCTGAAACTACAGAAATCATTTTCTCATGGTTCAGGATATTAGAAGTCCAAGGACAGTGTGTCGGTGAGAGTTCTTCTGAGGTGTCTCTGGTTGGCTTACAGATGGTCAGTCTTCTCTTGCGGTCTTTACTTGGCCTTTCTGTTGTGTGTCCACGTCCTAATCTCCACTTGTAAGGCCAACAGCCTCATGTGCTTAGGGCCCATTCTACCACTTCCATAGGGACTCTATCTCCAAACACAATTACAACCTGGGGAATGAAAGTTAGGGAGTGGCGGACATGCTGTCACCAATTAAACTGGGTACTGCTCTAAGGATAAACAAAGTAGTATTATTTTATTATTATTGTTATTATTTGTCTTTTTTTGAGACAGGGTTTACTATGCAGTTCAGGCTGGTCTTGAACTCACTTTGTAATCCAGGCTGGCCTGCAGCATGCAGGGATCCTCCTGTCTCAGCTTCCCTAGTGCTGGGATTACAGGTATATGCAGGCATGCCTGGCTTGAAGTAGCATTTATTTAGTGATAGATATACTAGGCATAGTATATTTCTCCTTTTTATAAAGTTCCTTTATTTTTTCAGAAAAATTGAAAGTGGCCATAAATAATTTATTTAAGGTCATATTCTAAAAGTGGAACAAACCAATTGGGAACTTACGTTTTTCGAACATCAGATCATGTAAGTTTCTCATATATAGATTAAAAGAATAAATTAAAAGATAAAATAATGCCTTTCATACAGATATAAAAGGAACTTGTATTTTATTTAATTCAATAATTAGTTATTAAGCTCGTATACTACAACCAACTCAAAGGAGAACTAACAACACACACAGGTAACCAGGGAGATTGGATAGAAGCAGGATTTGTCCCTACCCACAGGATCATAAACATATTAAAAACATGGTTCATTTGCATTTCCTTGGAAGAAATGATCTGCATAACTGTTCATTTTCTGTAACTTAGACTTATAACTTCCATATAATGAAGGTTATAATAGGTTCTTAGAAAATGAAATAATCCAGAACTATTCAGTAGACTAGACATGGGTAATTTGGGGCAGGGTGTCAATTTTAAAGACTCACAATTTTTAATATGTCAAAGATAAAATATAATTATTATTTACCTATTAATGTGAAATATAAAAAGCTAAATGAAACTGAATGTTAGTTAAATTGCTAGAGTCAAACTTTAGTCTATAATCTTTTGCAGGGAGGAAAGAGTAGAATGAACTGAACTCCAGTTTGCAGAGGCATTTTAAAAAGAGGAGGAGGGAATTTGGGAGGCAGGAGCAGTCTGAAAAACTTAGTAAACTCTAACATTGGGGAGGCTTATTGGCCATCTGGGTTTGCTGACCGGAGCTTGCTGAAGTCTACCCTCCCACAATGGTAGAGGGGCCTTGGTCCAGTACTATTTGCAACAAACAGTAAATTCTTATGGCAGCTTCTGAGTTTTGTCAGGTGGATACTGTAAGCGGGGTGAGGAGCCCTGCAACAGTACCAAGAAGGGTGAGGAGCTGTGCTGCAGTTTGGGCAAGGCGAGAGTAATCTGATGTCTGATGCAGCAGAGATTGTCAGAGTATTCAGTCACAGAAATGAATAATAATCCAGTACACCAACTGCAGAAGATCAAGTGGATGGCTCTCCCCAAATGCAGAGCTATAGAGCATTATTTAAACCAGGCCCTGTCTCTGTACTGATACTCACAGGAGCTGGCTATGCTATCTCCTTCTCCCTTCAACTGGCTCTAAGTGATGCAAATAAGGCTAGCTAAGGTACTGATATGTAATCTTTAAGGTCAACTGACAATTTCCTGTTTCCTTGCATTGTGTTCTCTATGGAAGAGCCAGTTAGCTCCCACAATGTCAAGTGGGTAGAGCCTCAAAAAAGAGGCTATTGATATAGGGGAATGAAATTCCTAGCCTACTAGATGTCTGGCACGGAGTTCGTGTTCTCTAAAATTGAAGAATGAATTTTAGGAATAATGGAGGTTAAGAACAGAGTTTATTTATTGAAAGAAAGAAAGCTTTTGTCTGGGAGAAAAACAGGAGTCCCATAGGGTTGCCAGAGTCTGTCTTTTCTAGGGACTTTTATAGAGTAAAACTACAAAGTGAGGCAGGTCTAAGGTGAGGAAAACATAGGAACTCCCAAGGTGAGCATGAAGTGGGACAAGACTATAGTCAACCAATAAGAATAAATACAGAGGGAAAATTGGTTAAATTAGGAGCAAATGGGAAAATGAATCACGTAACAAGCGGGCATGCCTAAAGAACAGTGACTTCTGTAAAAGGGTTCGGATGGTGACTCCTGGCTCCCTCAGGGTGACAGAGAACTATCTAGACTTATCAATCCTTAGGATGTGGGTGTATTTGCTTTGCCCTTTGTCTTGAGATTTGGCCCACAGTGGGCAGTGCCTGTCTCCTCCAACGTCACAAGACATTTAGTCTTCTGTGCTGACTCCCTCGAGGGCCTAACCCTGTCTGACTGCCTATAATATTCCTATCTAACTCAGTGGCCTATAACATTATGACTTCCCAGAGTACAAAAGTTTACATATCAGAAACTGAAGCAACAGCCTCCTAAACTCATTCATATGCTATCCCAATTGAGTTAGGCATCCTGATCCTTCTGCATTATCTTTCTCTATGTATATTGCATAGGCACTGGCTCTCCATCCTGGCTAGCTCAGCTCACCTTGTTCGTGTAATTCCCTGGCCATTGCCACTGTCAGTTATCCCTGAATCACTCCTTTCTTCATGAGATAATTTCTGGGACAGGCCTTAAATCAGGCCTTTGTCCATATATCCTCATTTGGAATGGACTTAAGACTCCTTGGCTGCCCATAACTTTAAATATGTCTCAGTGTCTTTACTTTCGCCGTGGGTTGTGTTGGAGGTGGCAGATTGGAATTAACTCCCTGGAGTTCGAATAACTTTTCTATGGTATTACAAATATAACTTTCTGTATTGTGAGGTAGACTGAAAAAGGGATTATAATATTTGGATTACAATAGTCAACAAAGAGATTTTATTTAAATCACTGTGATAGGGAAGAGATCTTGGTACACTGTGAACTTGGTATAGTGTGGTGGATGCAACAGATAAATTCCAAGCTCTTGTCGCAAGGCGTACCCTTAATGGTGAAAGAAAATCAGGTGGGAGTAGTGGGGACCTAGTATGTGTTTTGGTATGTGATAGAATTGTGGCGCGGCTGAAAAGATAACAAGTATGAAATATAAATGATCTTTATTTTAAGAATACGGGAAGAGACACCCCCCCCACCCAGGTCTGGCATCTCCCCGGGGTTGGCTATCTCTCCGGACACGGAGTGGGGGCATACATTCTCTTAGGTTGGGGGTGGTGCCTGAGGAGCATTAGGGATGCACAGGTATCTCATTGGCATTTATTTCCTGCCAGAGGCAAATTCCTAGGGGTGGGGAAGACAGAGCTCCTTGGTTCCGCCTCTAAGGCTTTACTGACTACAGTGTCCTGTCTGGGCCAAAGCCCTTTCATTTCCGTCTTATGATTATTATTATTAGGAAAAAGGGCGGAGATTTCTTTCTTTTACTGCTTCCTGCTGGAAAAGGGCACTGTACTGGGGTTTAGGGGAGTCGATGGGATGACAGTTGATGCCCAGGTAGAAGCTGGTGCCAGGGGTTTTAGCCAGGACAACTTCATCACTGGTGAATGCACGTATGTTAGACTGGAAAAACAAAGAGACAAGATGTTATGAGAAGGCATGGCACTGTCATAATTAAGGACCCAGCTGAGGTAGAAGGAAAGGTGCCTCTGATTCTGATATGTCACTATATCAGGACCATGTTGAGGTAGAATCATTGCCACAGTAAGGTAGAATTCTGAAAAATAAATGTGGGGTTAGGAGGAGTGAAGTTATGAGAGGTGATTACTCCCCCATCTGAAAGGGTAAAAGTTAAGGAGGGTAGGTAGGTAAGGCTTGTCTCTGGTATGTATGACGTGGGAGTCTTTAGGAAATACTGTTGAGAGTCCTGCTGTAAAAAAGGATAAAAAATTAGAAACCAAATTGGATAACAAAACATGACAGCCTGAAAGTTGTGGCTGTGAGGCCCTGGTGAGATGGAGATGAGTAGGCAAAAAGATGGTTAGATTTAGGGCTGGAAGGGCACCACTTAGCCTGAGTGATATGACACCAGGATATCAGTCTAGCAACTTTGATCACTGTTGAGGTTGCCAAGAATATCAGGTATGGGTCGCTCTAACCTGGTTGTAGTCCTTGGAATGATTTGCTGTAACAGGACTTTAGTAAGTATATCAGCAGTTTTCCTGGTTGTGGGAAAGGCTTTTATGTATCCTGAAAAAGTATAAACAAAGTGACAAGACAAAATTTATCTGTCAGTCTTGACCAGGGTTGTCTGAGAAATTGGTGAATAAGAAAGGAAGGGGGTAGTCTATATCACTGAGGAGAGGTTTACTAGCGATAACAGGTGTAAGCTGTTGAGGCCTCAGTGTCTGGGTCAGTCTATATAATCACAAGGGAATAAAAAGAATTTTTAAGATTTAGGACTGTAGAGTGAGTGGTGGAGGGGAGTTTTGGCACCACTGGGTAGATTGGGAAGAAGCAGTCTGGGACCTGCAAGAAATAGGCCCTGACCAAATTCAAACTGTAAGAGGCCTGTTACTTTTAAATAGTTGTACAATTTTCATCCAAAAGCTTAGTGTGTGATGAGCAAGAAAACTGTGAATAATTCTAATGTGGAAGGCAATGTAGAAAATTTTTCTGCAAATCAGCATTTATAGCAATTGTATTTTTTTGCTTTTTTAAAGAAAAGCCATAGAATAGGGAAGAAGAGACAAAATATATCAGTTCGATTGCCATGATTTGAGACAATGTACCCTTTTTCCTTTGCAGTTATTAGGCTTCATGTTAATACTAAAAAGTTATATTTGAGTTCCTTTTTTTAAAATGTTGCATACATACCTGTTTTATCCAGTGTTGAATTTGAAAGGATGTTGAATTTCTATTCACTGAAGTATTAAACACATTTATTTCACCAACATCAAACATTTCAGCTTTTCATGATAAAAAAGTGAATGATGTTAAGACTTTTTTTGCATATCTAAAAAGAAAAATATTTCTTAGAAGTGAAACTGCTGTTAAAACTTAAGAACATGTGTGCAATATATGATATCAAATACTGTGTTTTTAGAATCAATGGAGAAATGCCAAAGATGAATCTTTCACTGTATTATGAAAATAATGAGGTGTTCTCTGGACCTCGTTACATTATAGAATTGAAAAATATCTTTGTGAAACTCTTTGAGAAAAAAATGTTGAATTTATCTGAAAATTTCCACATACAGTATCAGCTTTAACCTAAAGCATTTTAAGATAAAAAGAAAGCTTAAATTTCTTAGAATATTGGTAAGATTCAAAGCAACCTGTCACTTTTAAAAGGAAACAATTTTCAGAATTAGGAAACTAATTTTATACTAGAATTGGAACTTTAAATTCCAATTTAAAAACAGAATGGCAGTGTTGGAAGTTGGGGGCAGTAGCTTAGCATATTCTCTACAATAGTTATACCTTTTAAGAAAAGGAATTTATCTCTTCTGTCATGTTTTAGGGAGGAATATATGCATAATATTGATAATCAATGTAGTTTATTTAAAAATGCATCCTAAAAATGGGTTATTCATGAGTGACCATCTGAAATCATTTTTCATAAAATGAATCTATTTTGTTGTACATTGACTTTTTTAGTATATACCTTTTAAAATACTAAGTGTCTTGTGTGATCAGAAAATATGAATGAATAATTTATTTTTTATGAGGGATGTGTTGGTACCATTCTCATTCTAGCCACTAACCAACAGGTACTACTATGTATATTATGTAGTGAACGTTACAATTTATGTACAGAACAGGTTGTGCCTCTCAAATCTGTGTATATGGGTATTTCATATTTTAATGTAAATAAATACCATTTTGCAGTTAAAAAAAAAAAAAAGAAAGAAATAGGCCCTGTTTGTAAATGGCATAGGTTGACCATCAATACCCCCTAGAGACTGAGGACTTAATATAGCAGCCTGAAAACTCAGGAAGAATCTGTACATATGGCCTCTATGTCCACAAATATAGAGAATGTCTTACCTGAGACTTTTAGTGGGACTTGGGACCCTGAGACGGACACCTTAATGTGGGCTGTTGTTGGCCCTGAGTTCCATCAGTCTTCAGCAGCAAGTTTAAGCAAAGCTGTTGGTGATGAATCTGGCAGTGCTGGCATTTCCTGTGAGGGCTAGAAGTTAGGATGGCTTACCCACTCTCTGCTGGCTAGGACAGTCCAATAACCCTGGGGTAAGATCCCAAAGGAACATCAGGATGGGGCACACTCTTGCCCAATGTCCTTCTGCTGTATATAAGGCATGGTCCATGGGGGAGGCCCAGGCAGCTACACCTTGTGTCGGTTTACCTGTCTCAGAATTCCAAGTGTCACAAGTGTTACTGTTATCTCTGTTGTTGAAAACACGAAAAGCCATATTAAGGAGGTCTCTATGGAATTTGAAGGTCAAGTTTTGGCTTTTTGTTTTGGGATCTGGTCTATAGTAGAAGGTATCTGTAAAATTTAATTAAGTATGCAGGAGTCAAATACAATCAACAGGGTATTTATGACTTTAGTAATGGCTTCTCATAAGGAGGACAAGGTCTAGGGAACTTTAGGAACTGACATGTCATTTATGCCACATATAAGTATCTCTTTATGTTATTAAAATGTCTAATGCCATCTGAATTTTGGAGGATGGCCTGTTTAATTTATTTTTACCTTTTCATTTTGGAGAGAGATTAGCTACTGTGTCATTTAATATCAGTTGAATATAGTTAATTATGGTTCAGTGGAGGGCGGGGCCAGGGCAGGCAGACAGCCTGGGAAAGGTTTAAGTTTGGCTTCTGCCACAGTGTTGGTTTTGTTGTTTTGTATGTATTAGTATGGGGTATATAAAATGGTCTTAGGGTGCTGCCTGACCTCAACTGAGTGAAGAGCAGTGATTTCCTCACTCCTCCTTGTTCTACCTGTACTAAACTGAACTCCATTCCTTTCCTTTCCTTTGTTTTTCCTCTAGTATTGGAGATGGAACCCACTACAGCCTGGTATATGCTAGGCAAATTCTCTTTTACTGAGCTACAACTCCAATCCTGACCCCATCTCTGAGTATTAGTAAGGACAGTAGAGGGTTTGTGGAAAATCAGCAGAATGAGGGGAGGTCCTGGGATGGAAATATCTAAGAGGAATGTGATTAAGATATCAAGGGCTGCCAGGCATGGTGGTGCATGCCAGTAATCTGGGCCCTATAGTGAGTTCAAGTCCAGCCTGATCTTTTCATGGCGACCCTATCTTAAAAAACCAAACCAAACAAAGTGAAAGATATCAAGGATCCTCCATAATGTGGTATAGCAATGTTTCTGCTAGAACTGGATGGGCAGATGAGGAAAGGAAAGCTGAAGTATGGTCAAAAAGGAAGTCTTTGCCCAAGTTCTGCCACCAGAGTGTCTTGTCATTACTGAGTCATCCTCTGGAGAACCTCAGAACCAGGGTCAAGGTGACCTGAAGTGTTGGGGCTTTTGAAATCTGTGCAAACTCATGAACAGTATTTTGATGTGTAACAGAAGGATCCTGTGAGTCCTGTGGGACAGTTTCCAGTGTCTAATTCCATCCAGGTGATAATTTCACTGAATTTATTCTACAAACACAGGTGAGGAAGAACTAAACAGCAGACCATAAGAAGGAGTAAGCAGATCTGAGGCTCCCATAAATATCATTTTTGAGCAGGGGATATAGCTCAGTGGCACAGTGCCTGCCTACCAAGCATAACGTTGTGAGTTTGATCCTGGCAAGCATAAATGTCGTTATGTATCTCACAAAGGAATTTGGTGGTTTTAGTTTTTATCAATAGATACTATTCTGTGTTCACTGGATTTAACTTTGAACAGACTATTTGGGACTCACCCCTGTCTTAGTTACTTTTCTTTCTCCTTGCTGAAACAAAATACCAAATGCTCAAAATTAAGGAAGGGAAGGTTTATTTCTTACCGGTTGGAGGTTTCAGTCTATACTCTGCTAGTTCCAAGCGGCAGAGTGGCACAGCAGGCCATTTGCAGACAGCAAGGGGCCAAGGGCAGAAGAAAAACAAGCCACACCCTCTTCCTGCCTGTTACACAATATGCGGGGCTCCACCCTTGAGCAGGTATCACTCATACCAGCAATCCAAGCACTAGACAACAAACCAATCACAAACACTAGAATTGGCCAAGTCCAAGATTGCATGAGGCTTGGTGGGCCACTGACATAAAATAACCTTCCATCACTAATAGGATTTGTAATTAGCATGCTCCACAGTGACATATTATTACTATATTTACAAACTCCAGCATGTGACAAATAAGTGCCTTTGTTTCAATGCAGAAGTCACCATATCATTTCCATACAATACTAATCTGAAAAACCTTCTTTAAAAAGTTCAAAATACTGGGATTTTTTTTTTTTTTTTTCTGTACCAGAGATCAAACTCACAACCTTGTGCTTGCCAGAAAGGCACTTAAGCCACTGAACTAAACCCCCAGCTATGGACTTTAATTTTTAATAAAAGGCATGTTAAGGCATTGAGTGTTTAAGTTTTGATGTCAGGCAACTAAAATATTATTTAGCTACTGTTTCTCTCTAAAGTTCAATTTTTAAAAACAATACTTTTAAAGATTACCTGTGGAAACCATATCTATATATTTTAAGGAATCCATATTGAATGTGAGAGGTGAAAACATTCCAGTTGATTATTTATATGCATGTGACTTGGGCTGAGGGTTTAGCTCAGTGGTGTAAGTGTTTGCTGGGCAGGCTCAGGGCGGTGAGTTTGATCTCCAGTACCACCTACCAATAAATATGAGGTAATAATATTCATATATTCTTGTGACTTTTGTATTCCATTGTTTTTGGTTTGTTTGTTTTTTGGTCTTTTTGAGACAGGGTCTCCTTATGCAGTTCAGGCCAGGCTTGAGCTACTGTTGTAGTACAGGCTGTTCTTGAACTCACAATAATTCCCCTATACAGACTCCTGAGTGCTAGGATTATAGGCATGCACCACCATGCCTGACGTTCTGTGTTTTCTTTAGCATAGTGTTACCATTCGCAAACTCTTGCTCAGAACTCAGAATCAGTGAATTAGGATTTTTTGTTTATTCTAGAGATTTCTTGAAAGACCCATAAACTCCTCAATAGACAGTTTCCATGCAGTATTCTGACTCTGTATGGTTTAGCCATGTCTGTCAAGCAGACTTCCTTCAGAGGATGGGCCTAATTCTCCCCTTGAGAGTGTGTGGACTCAATGGTTTATTTTCAGTATAGAGAAAACTACAGAAGTGGCAGGGTTCTACTAAGTCCTACAAAGCTTCAACCTCTTCCTTGTCCTCCCTTGGGTCCCTTTATCTGGTCAGGCCATCTGTGACATCAGGACACTAAACTGAAGGAGGCACATGTGGGAAAGAGCTATGTCTTCACCCTCAGCCAAGGGAGCAGGCTGGCAGGATGACTTCAGCCACATCGGAGACTTCCGTTAACCACGGCTCCACCAACATCTCGATGCAACCTAATAAGAAACCCTGGCCCAGGTGAGGTTCTCCTTAATGCCTGACCCATAGAAAACCTGCCAGAGTAAATGCACTTGTTTTTTTTTTTTGCACTGTAAATGCACTTTTTAAGACACAAAATTTTAGAGCAATTTATTATATAGCAAAGTGCAATATTACATTTCAGTACTCAAATTCCTCCCCTGTCTATCAATATTTTAATCATGATCCCCGCCTAATCCTAACTAAATGCTTAATTTTGTAAGACTAACCAAAATCTGGATTTCAAAAATCTTAGTAAAAATTCAACTTTGGGAAGACCCTTGAGTTTGTGTTTTCCCTTGCAAGTATACTTGGCTTTGTTTTTTCTGGGAGCTTTGGTGATGTTTGGGTAACAAGCATTTGGCAAACGACCTGTAAGTCTGAGGAAGGAGAGCACACATTATAAAGGTTATATCACACTTAATCACAGAATATATTTTTGTATTTATTTTTAATTATTTAATTAATTTGCTTGTTTTAAATAGGGTCTCACTGTGTAGTTCAAGCTAGCTTCAAATTCACTGTGTTAGCTTAGGCTATTCTCCAACTGATCCTCCTGCTTCAGCATCCCAAGTGCTGGGGTTATTAGTTTTTCACATAAGTACTTACTATGTGCATTATGTTGACGATTTCTGTTGCAAGTAGAAATAAGGTAAAATATTCCTAGTGTATCATATGGTCCTGGCCTGATGGCCAGCTAAGCCTAGGTAATTTAAAGACATTGGGAGAACTTGTCTCAAGATAAAAAACGAAAAAGAGCTGGGTTTGTAGCTCAGTGCTGAAGACCCTGGGTTAAATTTCCAGTTCTGCAAAGAAGTCCCATGAAATAACTACCAGTATCTAACCTCATTTATCTGCTGTTTATTTTAATTTACTTCATGGTCAGTGCCTTCAGGCATGTAGCTCAACTTTTCTAAGCTGTGTTGACAAATGAATAGATAAGAACTAATACATTATATAATTGACCAAGTTTTGGGATATTTGTCATATTATACAATTCTGTTGCTGGGATTTACAGAAACCTAGTGTATGGCCCACATTCTTCATTTTGGAAAGACAGTAGTAGCCTCTTGAGTTGCTGGGCCACTTCCTGACTTTCTTTTCCTCCAAAGCACTGAATTACAGCTGCCAAGATGCCTCTAAATTTTAAAGCTATGAAAAGGTAGAGACCAGGAGGAACTGGGGACGCAGGAAGCCTCCTGGCTTGCATAGGCTTTCGTATCCAAGCTATCCAAGTCCATTACTTTCCTGAAATTCAAACCCAAAACTAATTATACTGCGATAAAATACTTCTTGTTGGTTAATGGTTTTCTACGCATTCACTTTTCTGCCAAACCAACTGGCAACCTACAAGCAAGGGTCCCCCTCTTCTGTGCATTTCCAAGAGACTTTGGTTTTTGGTTCCCAAGTGCCACGGTGACTCCGGAAACCCGACAGGTCTTCCTAGGCGGGCGAGGAATGGGGTGCAGGTTTGTAGGGGGTTCCTGAAAATTCGCACTTTTAGAGGCCTTTCTCTCGCATTCCAGCTTGCACCAGCACAACACCTTTCTTGTCAAATTTGATTTCCAACAAAGTGAAACGACCTAAAAAAAAAAAAAAAAAAAAAAAAAAAATTCAGCCAGGCGTGATGGCCCGTGTCTGTAATCCCAGGATTTAGGAGGCTGAGGCAGAAGGATTGCCTTGAGTTCCAGTTACATTAATCGAATCAACTTGCTTCCTAAGTGAGAGAATTCCAGAATTCATTTTCATTAGGGATTTATATTAAGGAAAGGGTGAAGATCGACTTTTGTTTGTTACATAATTTTCACCTTTAAAAAGCCTCCAAAGGTTATATGTAGGTAGACTTTCAGCTTCTTTTTGGTTCACAGATTTTCCTAGACAGTTGTTTGTCTGACTGAATTTTGGAAAAATCCCAGAGAAATAATCAAACATTAATAACAAGTAGTTAGGATACAAATGTAGCTCTATAAGGTCAGACAGGAACCGGCTCACAGCAGCTAGCATTGGTGGTTCAGTGGTAGAATTCTCGCCTGCCACGCGGGAGGCCCGGGTTCGATTCCCGGCCAATGCACACACTTGTTTTGTTTCTCTACCCAAAAGTGACATGTTTTCCACAGGAAACCACAAAAAAAGTTTTACAGTAATTATTGTTTCGCTAGCCTCGGATGACCAAGAGTCAAGGGGTTTGTATAGTTTACTTTTATAAATTATGACCATCAGTGCGCACGTTGTTTTCCAACAATCCGAAGTAATTCCCATCCAGTTCCACTGAAGCCCAACCTCAGCAGACTGGCTTTTCGGGGAAGAATGCTAAACCTCTGGTGTGTGGTGGTGGAGCGAAGTCGTGTACATTGCCCTCTCCATTCTCCGTGGTAATCATTAAAATACAGTAAGTCATTCAGCATTGGGGTCATGCCAAAAGTTTCATTCTTGTATATGCAGCTGGACAACCCTCCTCTTACGTAAGCAGAGTGGCGCAGCGGAAGCGTGCTGGGCCCATAACCCAGAGGTCGATGGATCGAAACCATCCTCTGCTACAAGTTTTAGTGGGAACCTCGATTTTAGAAACAAAAGACTTTAGGTAAAGTTAAAGTTTTGAGGGCTAGACCTGACAGTGTAGGAATCAGCAAGGTGATTTGTTAGAAATGGCCACTTCTAGCCTTCAGTTATGGTAAGTCTGGCTGCGTCAGACGACCCTACTACTCAGTATGCCTGACTTGGAAGCGACTGCAGGTAAGGGTTGATTTCTTCCCTTGCATCAGCCGGTGCTGCAGTCCGCTGTACCTCTTCCAGCCAAGGTCTCAGTTTTCACAGATCTATTTTTTATAAATAGCACTGACAGGCACTCCAGAGACTTTGTGGCATTCTTGCAGAAATCAGGTTTGAAGGTGGATTTTTTAATTGTGAAAGTATTACTCCTCATGGGAATATATCCAAGGCTTAGAACAAGGGCTGTAGTCGTGGCCGAGTGGTTAAGGCGATGGACTTGAAATCCATTGGGGTCTCCCCGCGCAGGTTCGAATCCTGCCGACTACGTAAGAGTGTTTTCTTTGCAAATACATTAAAAACCAGCAAACTCTTCCGACTGTTCACTCTGACACTCTTATATTACTTTTCTCCATATAAATTGGAAGCAGGTGATCCTATTTCTCTCAGGCACCCATCTGTATCTAGCATCATTAGGAGTTTGTGAGACTCTGTCAATGTGTTGGAAACAGTTCAGATTGTAACTTTAAAATCCTCAATATTTTAATAATGTCAACAAGAATGAAAATGGAGCAAAGGTATTTAGAGGAGGAGGGAAGAGGTCAAGAGGCAAGGGAGAAGAGGGTTTAAAAAAAAAAGAACCAATGCATATTATGTACATGTACTTATTCCCCAAGAAGATTATATACTGCATGTTCTGAAAAAAGTTTTTTTAAAAATTCCTTTGGAATTGCCGTTTTCCTATCCAACAGATGGCTCTTGTCTTACTTCTAAAACCTAGTTTCTGTCTGAGATCTGAAACCTCTT